ATATAGGGATAAGAAAATCAGAGTTGGTGGCAAAGACTCAATTTCTTTGAAATTGTAATAAATGAAATACTTTTTAAAATTTGTAACAGTTCCTAATATTAAAATTGAAAGCGACATTTCATTGTACTACTTTCTAGTTTCCATAGTAAACATATATGTTAATTTATTTTGAAAAAATTGTGAAAAGTAATCTCATACAACGTTGTTTAAATCTTGTTATTTCGGTTAAATATTGAAAACTGTTTGAAAAGAATGTGAAAAGTATTGAAAACAGATTTAAAAACAACTTTAGAACAGAGCCATAGAGAAAAAAAACATAGAAATTAAAAAGAACCAGTTGAGGCCGTAAAAGAAAATATTTTATAAACAAACTAAGAAAATTGGATCCATTGACACATAGATTCAAAATTCTGAGAGAAGACTTTATGAAAACTTTATTTTATTTAATTTTTTTGTGATACTGCTATACAAAATACTTGCTTTATGGTATTGTCGTATAAACACCTCTTTGAAATACTCGCTCTCTGGTTTTGAGGTTTTGAATTCTTTAATACCAATAATTACTTAGTGGTTTTGTGGTTAAACTACTCTCCCAACATGTTTTCCTTGGTTGTTTAGGTTCAACTTCTCTGCAAATACTGGTTCTATTTGCAGTCTAAACTCCTCTATAAAATACTTGCTCTGTGGTTTTGTTTAAACTGCTCTACAATTTCTTGTACTATGGTTTTGGGGTTTTAATGCCTCTATGAAATACTTGATCTGTGATTATGTGGTTTAAACCCATCTAGGAAATACTTGTTTTTTGATTTAACCTACTATAAAAATACTTGCTCTATGATTTTGGGGTTTTACTCACTTTACAAATACCTGCTCTGTGATTTTGAGGTTTTACATACTCTTACAAATACTTGCTCTATGATTTTGAGATTTTACCTACTCTACAAATACTTGCTCTATGATTTTAAGGTTTTACCTACTCTACAAATACTTGCTCTGTGAATGTGTGGTTTAAACATCTCTATGAAATACTTGCTCTGTAATTTTGAGGTTTTACCTACTCTACAAATAATTGTTTTGTGGTTTAGAATCAATCCACTTTCAAGCACCATTTACATTTTCACTTCAATAGTGAAGGGAAAAGATGGAAGTTGATATTGATATAGATTCCTTAAATGACATTTTGTGAAATCTCATCCAGATTTTATCCTATCCTATATCAAACATATTCAACATTTAATAATATTTGTTCTTAAAAAGAGAAAAAGGAAATCCGTATAAAAAGAAAAAAGAAAGGAAGAGAATTATGATAAATTACTGTTTTATTGTATAGAAACATTATGGATTAAGCACCACTGGTATATAACCTACATTAATAATAAATAAGAGAGAAGGCGTATAAAAGAAAAATGAATGATGAAGCATCCAGAAGGTGAAAACTAATTAATGAAGATTAAGACGAAATATTAAAATTATCATAAATGAACTCCTTCTATATATACAGAGTGAAGGGTACAGGTGAAATTGTTTTGCTTTTAAAGAATGCTTTTAGCGGGCTATTGTGTTTAGTTTAAGGAACAATTTAAGGTGAAAATTAAACAAATTTTAAATCGAAATTATATCGAAGAAAAGGAGGAGTAGGAAAAGTGGAAAAACAATGAAATCCATATGGAGCAAGCAAATTGAAAAAATGAATAATAAAGTTAAAAAATCAATATTGTTCAAACTAAAAACATTAAAAAACTTAGCGTAGAAAGATAAAGAAAGAAAAATGTGAATTTTGAACAGTTTGATTAGGACACTTGCACAGTATATGAAAGGTAGAAATGTTGTTGAAGAAAACTTTAAACTCAAATATGGAGTAAATGAAAAAAAATAGAAATGATAATAAAAAAGGTTGAAAGGAGGAGAAAAGTATGGGGATAAAGGGAAAACAAGCAAAATGGAAAATTGAATAATAAAAATGGAAACCAAACAATGTTCAAAATTAAATCAGAGATTGACTCAGGGAAGAAAAATAAAGAAATAAAGATGTGAGATTTGAACAGTTGGATTAGAACACTTGCACAGTCTGAAAGGTAGAAAGGTTGTTGAAGAAAACTTTTAAACTTTTCCTAGTTTATTTTGACTCCAGCTTGAGGTAGATAGAGAGGTTTATACAGAATTCAATTCTAAAGAAAGCTGAACAAGATTTAGCTTTATCTGAGAACTAACAAAGGTTTTCTCTACATACAGGTTTCTAAGATACAAGAGTAGGGGATAATGCAGATGTATATAAAGCACTTCAAATTATAGTAACTGTTATATTGAAGGGACTGGCGTTTGTAATCTTGGGTGATCTTCTGTCTAAAAAGAGGATCTCTCCGATTGATTGCAGTATTCTTCAACAAGTTTTCATAGCTTAACAATTGATTAAGTTTTCATAGCTTAACAAGTGATTAAGTTTTCATAGCTTAACAGGTGTTTAAGTCTTTATTGCTTAACAAGTGTTTAAGTTTACATAGTTTAACAAGTTTAACAAGTGTTTAAGTTTTCATAGTTTAACAAGTGTTTAAGTTTGCATAGCTTAACAAGTGTTTAAGTTTTCATAACTTAAAAAGTGTTTAAGTTTTCATAGTTAAACAAGTGTTTAAGTTTTCATAGCTTAACAATTGTTTAAGTTAATATAATATTATTTTTTTATATAGATTTTTATATTTATTATATTAAGAATCACTTATTTATTCATTTTTTTGGCACTTCATACTTTCAGTACTTGCTTATAGTTTCCTTATAGTAGTGCTTTAAAACATATTCATCTTTCCATAATGTTAAATTAGGTGTAAATACATAGTGCTAGCTGAGTCATACAGTTTAAATAGTTCCCGGATTTTTCTTTTTAAAAATGTAGGACAATTTTAAAATGATTAATTCCATTTAAATTAAAAAAACAATATCAATAATAACTAATTAGAAAAAATTGAAATCCAAATACTTAATTTTGATTTTTTCCAAGATTCAAACTGTAAACTTTAGAGGAACTAACAGGTTGCAAAGTAGTGCTTGTAATTCCGCATAAAATAACTGTTTGTCTTATATTGAGATTTGAGTGAAAAAGATTAAGCTAAAAATGTAATAATGAACATTTTTATAATACCCTTTATTTGAAGTTCAGTTTTGATACACAGATAAAACTTGATTTTTTTTCGGCAAAGATAGAATTTTTTTTCTAATTTAAAGTATAAACTGTTGAAAGAATTTTTAAACGTTGTGTTCGCACGAAAATTCAAAATCTGAAAAATGTTAATAACTGGGTCGACTTTAAAGCGTCGCATCGCCTTGCATTTTTATTTTACCTTACTTCCTTACTTAGTATACTTTACTTCCTTACTTAGTATACTTTACTTCCTTACTTAGTATACTTTTGTTGTGTTTTGAGATTAACATTTTTGATCTGCGAAGAACATGTTTTTGTCGTAGCTTTTGGAAGTAATTGGCAAAACTCTCATATATCTATCAAATTTGACTGAAGACAATTCAACCTTTCAAAAACTTATAAGAAATGGCTAATATTGATATATTGATATTTAGTGCTATATATTGCTGAAAATATTGCTATTTATTGTTAATTATTGCTAAATACATATTGCTATTTATTATTATATATTTCTGAATATATTGCTATTTATTGTTATACATTGCTAAATATATTGCTATTTATTGTTAAATATTACTGAATATAATGCTATTTGTTGTTATATATTGCTAAATATTATATTGCTGAATATATTGCTATTCACTTCTGATTGGTAAATAAAAACAACCGTTTATACAGTAAGAACATATTGCTATTCTAGGGGACAAATCAAAATAAAATTTTTATAGAAATAGTCATGATACAGTATATATTCTAAATCCACTTCTAACAGTGTATATATATGTAGTCATGTACAGTATATATTCTTAATCCACTTCGTACAGTGTATAAATGAGTAGTCATGTACAGTATGTATTCTAAATCCACTTGTTACAGTGTATATATATGTAGTCATGTACGGTATATATTCTAAATCCACTTCTTACAGTGTATATTTATGTAGTCATGCATGGTACAGTATATATTCTAAATCCACTTCTTACAGTGTATATATTTAGTCATCTACAGAATTTATTCTAAATCCACTTCTTACAGTGTATATATGTAGTCATGTACAGTATATATTCTAAATCCAGGTTTTCTTTTTCCCCCTGTCTCCTAGCATGCATGTATCTAGGAAGAATAATAGTTTTGTCTTATGATGCAAACATACTGCAGAATTATAGGGTGTACGTATAAGAATTGTTATGGGGAATGGTAGGTATATAATAATAAAGGTATTGGTGAAATGGAATAAAAGGGGTATATATGTAATATGTATGAAGACATGTATGACTAGAAGTGAAGTGAAGCTGCATGAAGGGGTGGGGGTTGATAATTAAAAATTAAGATACAACTTCTAAATCAATGCAGCTTAGAAAAACAACACAAAATGAAATACTATTAAGTCTAAAAGGGGTAAAAAGGGGTGGGGGTAAAAGGGACCAGGGAGAGCGGGTATTAAAGTAGTGCTTCAGATTTTTGATTAATATTTTTCAGAAATTAATTTATTTGAACAAAGTGCACTTAAAGGATTTCATTAGCTATATAATCAATAATGTATAATTGAATATCGAAATTTCCTTCTTTCTGGAAAATATATGAAAAATATGTTTTTTTTCTAACTGTTTTAATAAACATTTTTTTTCTTTGCTTGGTTAAAAATGATTTCTTTTACAAGAAGATAAATAGTTTTTTTCCTCATTTTTGACTTGCATAAAATTAAATTTAAAAATTTAATTTGAAAATTTTAACAATGAAACCAATTTGAAACCTTGCTTAAAACTAATTTTAGAAATAAAGATTCAAAGATCGCATAATAAGTTTTATGATTTAGTAAAAAAAGTTTAGTTTTAAAAGACAAAACCAATTTGGTTTGAAATATTACCTTTAGCTATCGCGGTAAGGAAGAGAAGAATTATAACTTTCATTTTATATTTTCATTTTTGTTAACACTTTAATGCCCACTTTCCTTCGCCTTCTGTCACCTCAAACTGTTGATGGTTAACTAAGGTGGTTGAGCCAAGTTCTCCAAGTGTCCGCCTAAGGGCGCTAGTGTCTGCGAATATGACTCTACACAGTGCTCCGCTGTACGGACTACGCGGTGTACACTTATCGGGGTTTTAGGCCGCAAGTTCCCGCATTTTCTTAATCTTGCGGAAAAAATTAAACGGATGGAACCTGTAGGACTGTAGAGGGCTAAAACAAACAAAACTGAGAAAAAGTATGAATATTAATCATATTTACAAAAAAGTCGTGATCCATTTTGGAAGTTTAGGCCAATCCATCTTAAAGCTAGGGGGCCGGGAAGGGTAGGTTAAGATGAATATTGAACAAGGGTGGTTTTTGAAGCTGAGGAGTTCAGATTAATTATTTGATTAATTAAAAAACCCCGGGATCGTGATCGATATTATTTACATCGATTAGCGTTGGATTGTATAAAAACTATTTATCTCAGTAGCTTCGTAAATGATGATAAATTAACCACGAGATTGTTTAAAGAGCAAAGAGCTTATTTGGAGGAGAAGAGCGGGGAGGGGTCTTTAAATACACAAAAAAAATGATTCTATAACTTCTAATATCTAAAAAATGTAATTTTATCCACGACAAAGGCCATAAACCAGCTTAAAATGAATACTTTTAACAGAAAAACAAATAAAATAGAATAACCTCAAATATAAATAACCTAAATGGTTCATAAAGAAACACTAAAAAGGGTTAAATATTTCTTATTTAGCAGAAAGAACAAAAACATTGCGTAGGTAAACATAACAATCATATCTCTACATAAATAGATGAATAGATGATCGTCTGAGGAATGGAATAGAAATATGACCTTGTAATAAGATGAATTATTTTAATTAAACACTTAGCTCTAAACTGTATGATTGAATGAACCGATTAAAAAACCGGTTTTCTTGTTTACATCAAACTTAGCAAATTAACAAAAAAACAAATAACAAAATAATTTGTTGAATTTCTAGAAACCATGAAAATATGAAAATCAAAAATATCTTGGATTAAAAAATGAACTTAAAGGGACTGTGAACGTAATTTCAAGTAAACTTCTTCAATAGAGAGTCATGTCTGATTCACAACGGTACCCTTGAATCTGAGTTACAATGCGGAAGATATTGTCGTTTTTCTCTCAAGAATTGTGTTGAATTCTGTCAGTTTCCTTCATTGTCTCTTTTACTGAGACAACCAAACGAACAATAATTAATTTATATATCTATTAATTTAGTTATCAATATAACGTTGCAACAATGTCGTGTTTAACATGGATTCACATGTTTTAACAAACTACCCCTTCCATTTCATTTTTCCATATTTTACAAACCTTTCAATTGAAAAAACACGTTTAAAAGATAAAATCTTGTTTTGAACTGAAGTAGCAACCTTTGAAAAAAGACCCAATATTTGAAAATATAATAATACTTGTAAATGACATGTTTCAAAAAATCCATTAAGTTAAGACAGGCTGTATGCTGCGGCATCATTTACCAGTCATTAGGAGGTTCAGACCATTTTAAACCTATTAAATATGGAAGATGATTTTAAGGTTTAATTACCAGGTGGAAAACAGGTTTTAGATAATATTTGTAGACAGTCCTGACTAGCCTAAAGGGACAGTTGGCGAAATTTTGAATTGTCCCCTTATTAAAAGTGCATATATCTAAAATTTTGTTCAATTATTTTTGCAACTACTCTACAAAAATGACTTCCAGATATATTCAGCGGGGACAACAAAGGAATTGACAGAATTCATCTCTTTTATTATTCATACATTACAGGGCGGTGTTAAAAAAAATCTAAAATAGCCAGGGCATTTTTTTCCGACCCTTTTTTGGCATTTTTTTCAACCCTCTCTTGCAACCAACCTATTAAAGTTAACAGTCTAATATTTTTCAATGAGGTGGCCTCAAAAAATTGAGCTATAGAACATGCATTTCAAGTCTACCTATACTCTATGGCCTTTATATATCTAGGATGGGCGTGGGACGCCTCCCCCGGCTAATCATACATAGATTCAGACCCCCAAACCTTGATAGGGTCAATGAAGTTGTCAAAATACATAGATGCGTCTCCAATAAAAGGCCCATGTGTAATTTTGCAGTACACCGTGTCAATAACTGCATCTATGTACTATACAATGTATGTTTCAGGATCCATCTATCCAGGCTTGTTTGGAGTAGGCGTTTACTATAACATTCATTCTTATTCACTTAATTGATGAAGATTATTTAGTACAACCTTTTTTTACAAATCCAAATCTAGTCAAGAATTCTCAGTTTTTTTTATATGCATAATGTTCTTTATGTTCGGGGGTATAGTATGTTTTTATGGATGGCCAAGAATAAATGTTGTACTGGCCAACCTTTGCAACCTAATGTTGTAGACCTTAAATACTTCAAACTATGACCTATGTTGGATCAAATAAACTAAGTTTGAAATATCAAAGGTTTACATTAACAAGCTGCAAAGATATGGGGATAAGAAAATCAGAGCTTGAGGCAAAGACTCAATTCCTTAACCTGTAAATGTTTAAAAGCACTTTTTTGTAATATTCCTAAATATTCAATTTTTTTGAATTTTGAATCAAATTTAATGATCTTTAAATATTAATTAAAAAATCCAATAAATTTAAATCAATGAAACTGAAATGTACACCAATAAAAACATTCTAAAAATGATAAATTACAATACAACTCTTGTAAGTGGCCTACAGGGCCTCTAGGACACTATAATTTTATAATGGTCCAGGAATTGGATGTGGTCAAAGATTTTCAAATCAAGGATGGCAAATCAAGGATGCAAATGAATTTTTAAAAAATTTCACTATACAAATTTAGACCGCTAACTTACATGGACCTAAAAGGAAGATTTAGAAAATGTAAAAGATAAAAATGTTGTTTTTAACAAATACAAATATGCGACACTTGTTCTTGAATTTATTTTCAAGGGGTTGCATGAATAACAAAAAAAACTATGGGAGATTTAAAAGAATCAAATTAATCGATCGCCATTCGCCTTTCAATTTGGAGGTCTAGAAATTTAATTAGGCCGTCTAAAACTTTTATTCGACCGTCTAGAAATTTTATTCGGCCGTCTAGAAGATTAATTCGGCCGTGAAGAAATTTTTTTAAACCTTAAATGTTGTAAGGAATGGTAAAGTATTGATTGTGTTAAGTAATTAGTTCCTCATTTAGGATTGAAAAATTACTCTTCAGTTTTTAATATCTTTGCCCTGGGTTAAAGTGACCAGTTTAGGGATATTTTAGACGTATATTTATTAATAATATATTTATACATATATTTTATATATATATAGAGATGTGTATTTATATACATCTATACTGTTTCTTAATTTAGGTATAATTAACCTTGATATATAGACCCCACACACGTAAAGCTAGAAACATATCTACATCATCTACAGAATATATATTTGGAATGTGTTCCTTTTGATTGTTTGCATGAATATACGTCACTCAAAACAGCTCAACCAGTCGGGCAAAACAGCTCAACCAGTCGGGCAAAACATATTTGTTTGATAAAACCTCAAATGTAAAAATGACCCCAGAAAGGCTTATGGCTGGTTAGAACAAACGATTTTGTCTCTCATTTATATTTCAATAGATGTTAGTTCCACATTTATTGAAAATATATTTCGGTCTGGGTTGACCCTCGTCAGTTCTAACGATATTATAACCATCAAAATCGATAAAAAAAATTGTTAAAACCACAAGAAAATAAAAAAGCAAAAAAGATGATTTAAAAAAAATTTGGCTGTCAAATAGACAAAAGGGAAACGAACTCAGATAATGAGATGGAAAAAAGATAATTTGAAATTATTTAATTTGCAATTTAAAAGACAGAAAGCAATGTGTAATTGTAAATGGAAAGATTTCTGAATTCTTTAAGACTATCAACATTTCTGTTCTACAGGGGTCAATATTAGGTCCATTATTGTTTTTCATATTCATAAATGACATGCATAAGTCTAATGCCCTTCTTAATGCCCATTTTGCTGATGACACGACAGGTCTTTGTAAAGGTATGCATCTATTGAAAAGATTAGAAAACTTTGTTTGTAATAAACTTTTCTGTTATACCTGCTCTAGACTCTAAATCTTAGGGGTTAAAAATTACGAATCAATTATTCCTTTTCTGCCCTGATATCTTCTGGAATTTGTTGAGTAAACTTTGGTGTACAGATTGTAAAGGGTGGGGGTTTTATCTAGTTATTAACGATCTCATCATCTTTACTCATTTATATAGATTTCCAGTTAATTATATATTCAGAATTGATAAATTGAATTTTGTAAGGTTATGTATTCATTGGAGTCCAGATTGTCCTGATTAATTAATATCTATAAATCATAGTTGAAGCTAAGAGGTCCCTGTTCTCCTCTATCCAATCCTCCTGCCCTACCTAAACCATCCACCACCACACCGCCAATACCGTATCTATAGTTTTTCTTTCTTTTATTATCGAGCAACTGGGGAGCTGATATAAAAACAGCTACAGCTATAGCAGTTCTCCAGACGCAGACCATTAATCAGTTGACAATTAATCTACCACTTGTAATAATGATTTATCAATGTTTCTGCGTAAATAAATAATATTTGATTGATTAATTGATTATTCACTTTTAAAAATGTTTTAAGACAATCATTATTCCTTGAGATTTTTTCTGTCAGGAAGATTAAAAACAATATGTATTTGTGTAAAGTGGTTGGGTGGGGGGTCGATTTAATTAACGAACTTTTACGTAAATCAAGGGGAGGGGTATTTTTAAACCTTTTAAAGAAATTGGACATAAACAACTCTTTTTAAAAAAAAATACTGAATTACAGTTAACAATTAAATAACAGCTAATTTTTTCTGTTCATTTCTCTGAGTTCAGTCATAAAATCTCTAATGTATTTAGATTCTCGTACTTCAAGTAAACTTCTCCCAAGGTCCCAAACCTTCTCTAGAACGCTAACTTAAACCACTTCTTCTCTGATTGGAACTATACAATAAGTTAAATCACTTCTTTGATTGGAACTATACAATAAGTCAAAC